TCAAATCGATCTTCTACCAACTCATCCTCTTCGGCAACACTACCCATCTGAGAGAATCACGCTATCTGAAAACAGCTACATATAGAAAACAGGACTAAATGAACAAAACAAACAGACTTGAATATTTATCTTCCCGCGGAAACAACAAAAGTTCACCGTCAATCGGACTGCCGTCACACGCGCGCGTCCGCGCTGCAGAATTCGAAATAGGGCGCGTTTTTCTACGACAAGTACTGTCAATTGCTTCAAGCAGATTTTGTGACATCTAATCCTTTCTATGCGGCAAGAGTGCAAATCCCCCCTAGCTGTCGGTACTCTCTCGCTCTCTCTCGAATAGCTTAGCCTTCACCAACTTTCTCAATATCACCCTGCTCACGTTGAAAGCAGGCTGACCGTTCTTCAAGTTGGTGAGTCACTCTGCGTGCCTGACCGCAGCGTGCTCTCCCGTCTGGTGCCTGGCCTCGAGAGCGAGACGCAGAGAAAAAAACGGATTAGTTGTCCTAAGACCCTTCAATCAGTCTATTCGATTAGACGTGTCAACTAAATAAGGCTATCATAGTCCATTTGGGTACTGATTAGCTAGCAAACTCCAATACTAGTTAAACTGCAGTCCAATACACCCTATGATCCCTGAGACGAGACCCTCTTTGCTTAGTACCACAGAGCCCAACAGAGGAAAGATTCGCGGTGAATTCTCAGTATAGGGTTGACTAAAATTTACTCATCTTGATCCCAACACACCCTTCCCGGAAATGCCTAACACGATCATTCTTTCTCCCCAAAACTTGCTTTTGGCACTATTCATTTATCACTACCCCAAAATCTTGAAGATTTTCCGTCGAAACTTTACTGTAGGGGGTTATCCATTGTCGGGCACGCCGTGGGCTGGGGATCCCCAGCGCGAGGGGGTCCTACTTGGTCGTTGGAGGAGGGAACGAATGGGCTGTATTCGCCTTACACGAACATTTTCGGTTGTTTACCTTTTCCGCCTTTCCTCAAGTGCGCTTTATACGTCCTCCCCCTACCCTCCTGCTCGACTGCAGATTTTTCGAGGAGAAGATGAAGTTCTAGTGCCCTGAATACGAATTCGTTTTAGCCTCCGGTGGCGCCACCACGTTTCTCACCAAACTCGATGTAAACTTGCATACCATGGCTATTCGATGTCCTGATTATGGACACTCGTCTTTGGCTCCGTGGCCATCTGGCGCTAGAACGGTGCTGGCGCCTACCTGGCGCCGCGACGGCCGCGAATTTGTTAGGAATACGGAATTCGTTGCTATTCTGCATTTTAGGTTACCGGGACTACCGGGTTACGAACATAGCTTTCATTCTTCGGTGCTGCTTTTTTTTGCGCTCTGCTAAGACTGATGGGTTTGCTTTCCTGG